GTGGTCCATGAAGATGGCAATGTTTGTGACCTGGCTGAGCCAGCTGGGGAGCAAGTCACTGCAGGTGCCGGTGTCATTCTGGCGGCCATCAAAACGAGGACATGTCCTGCGGACAGTCTGGGTGGGCCTCTGGCCCCCAGAGCCAAGATTGTATCATTACAAGGAGGACCGAAAAAACCCTGGAATTTACTTATTAAAAATTGTGTATTTATTTTTACATGTTTAAACTTTAGTCAGCTTCCAATACTCTACATTTGATGCAATAAGATGTTTTTGACAACCTATTGAGATGTGTTTCCATTGCTCAAAACAGTTTTGAATTCATCAATTTTGATGCTTTTAGTGCTTCTGTCTTTTTTTGTTTCACCTCTTCCACACCAGCAAAATGTTTCCCTCTAAGGACTTTTTTCACTCTGGGGAAACAAAAAAAAGGCACTTGGGGTGAGATCAGAAAAACTGCTGACCATTTAGCACAGTGTAGGCAGATGCACTTATAAAACACCCATAATAAAAGAGGCAAACGCATTGAAAAAGTCTTCGAAAACAATTCACCGAAGCCTAATGCAGCCTCTCACAACAATGTCAGCTGGTACACTGATACAGATGGGTTCCTGGAACACAGGGGGAAGCCAGTACTACAAGAAGCCCTCCTTCCAGAAGATAATTCCAGATTTTTTTGTTTTGGCCCCTCCTCAAACATATAGGGGCCTTCATTTCAAATGTTGTATAAACTGGGTCAGAATTCACTGAATTTCTGTTGACTTTCTCTGCAACAGCAAAAATAATTCCAGTAACTATTTACCTGTATACCTTTGTTGATTGAATATAAAATTGTATTTTGTGTATATGTGTTCATGTACATAATTTCTCTTTAAAATTAAAATTAAGCTCAACACTTTGCTTTGATTGTCATGTGATTATTATCAGTAGGTCAGTAGTATGTATTTATTCAGCCAGGCATCCAGCAGAGGCTAGCCATGGTGGGGGATATAAAAAAAGAGAAAGGAACAGTGACTGCCCTAAAGGCTGAGTTGCATTACTTGGGTAGATAAAACTAAGGCTCCTATCACTCAAAGTACAATTATTGCCAAAACCTATGATAAGCACTGTACAGAAGTGTTTAGCTCCAAGTATAATATGAGCCAAAAAAGAAGTTGGCTTGACTTCAACAGCCAGTACAAGCTTTGTCAAGAATATCAGGTGTGAGCTGCCTTAAAAGAGAAAATTGGAAAGAGAGGCCAAAGGGCAGGGTTTGACATATTATATTGTACAGAACATAGAACACAGGAACAAAGACATGAAAATGGGACTGGAGTGATGTGTGGTGGGAAAATTAATGTCTAATCCAAGAAGGCTGCAGATCTGAATGGAGGTAATACTTGCTATCAAAGAGAAAGAATCATCCACTGGCCTTAATAGAGCCAAACACCAGACACCGATAATGGCAGTGGAGAAAATACTGGTTGTTTTATATGAATGGCACCACCCAGGAGAACGAGAAGGGAAGCTAATGCTCTAAGGCCTGAACTCCCCAACTGTGTACAGGTCGTAGCTAATGCAAAATCACTAGACACTGTGGCATAGGAACTTGGGACCGTGCTGGGAGGTGAATGGTCAAAGTTGAGGTGATGAATCATTTCTCCAGGACTTGAGGTAGGCTCTGGGGTCTTTCTGGGGTCCGTGTTTTCATAAGAAAGTAGCCAGGAGGTAGTTCCAGCTTAGGACTCAGAAGCTAAAATGCAACTCAGGTCAAGATGTTATTTTTAGCTTGCTAGAGGTAAGACCATGTGACCACTGTCAGGTCAAACTACTGTCTTCTGATGCCTTGAGGAATTGCTGATTATGGAGAAAAGGCAAGGTCTCTGAGGGGTGTACACAGAGTGAGAATTTCTGGAGCTAGAATTTAAGACCAAATTTAATCAAAGTCAGGTCATAAAAACCCTCAATTTCATAGGGAACATGTACCTCGCAGACAGATGTTTTTCACTTTTTTTATTCTCCATGTTCCTTCTTAATGTCAACAAATATTGATTGAAAGCCTATGAGGTGCCCGGCACTTTTCTAGGTCCTGGGGATAGAAGACAACATCTACAGATATGCAGCCCACATTCTAGCCAGGCAGACAAACCTGGAAGGCTAGTAGCCAGAAAAGAATGTTTGGAGGGCATGTGGAAGAACATCCTGGTGTCAGATGGGTACTGGATTTATCAGGCAGGTCACTTTGTAAGTTACACAAATGTCTAATCACTGGATTGTATTCCTGTAGCCAATATAGTATTGTATGCCAACTACAAATTCAAAATTAAAATTATTAGAAAAAATTAGGAAGGAGAAATTACTAGAATCAGCAACAAGGACCAAGAAGCAGCTATCTTGACTTCAGGCCCTGGACTACATGAGGTGTGGGAGAGACCACCCCCCCTGAAGAGTGATGCACACACAAAAGTGATGTCCTGAGGGGAAAGCAAAATTTTATTTAGATCTGGAAGATGAAGTGCATGAGGTTTGTACTGAGTAAACTGCAAAACAGGTGAGTCTATTCTTTTCAGGCTATTACATGCACTTACCTCATCTGGTCTCCAGAAGAATCCAGGGAAATAGAAAGATGGAGAAACTGAGGTCAGGGAGTCCAGTCACTTCCGTATTGGACCACACTGTAAAACTAATGATGGTTAAACATCAGGGATCTCCTCTTGCTGGGGTTCCTTCGAAGACCCTGGAAGGAAAAGAGGTCCACCAAAGTGTTCAATTGGCCATCCATTTCAATGAAATCTGTAAAAGTGAGACCCTTTAATCACAACTGGTGACTAAATCACAAGTGGTAAATACCAGTTTCTTTCCATTCCAATGTCCTCTCTTGCAGAGGGGACACTTCCTTTCACGTTGGATGGCCCAGAAAGTTTTTAGGATCTGTCCAATGAAAAGTTGAGTTGGGGACATCAGTGGTCCTTGAAAAACATGATCACATTATTTCATTCTACATCTTTTGAATATAATGAAGAGATGCCATAGAAACTCAATTACTGTTTATATCAATTAGCCTATGGTAAACTGGCTTCTTTATATGTTGTTTCACTTAAAATCACAGAATCTATCAACAATATTAAGTGAGGACTTACTGGACATAGTTTAAATTTTATAGGATCAATTCTTGTTGTCCAAAGTCACTTATGTGTGTGGTAATATTGCTGTAAAACTTCCTGGTGCAGGACTGGCTTCCAGGCATGTACTCTCCAACACCCCACTTGCTCTCTCTCTCTTGCACACACACACACACCCCTGGGCCAACTCCTCTGGCTTCTACAAAAAGGCTACAGGTTATTCTACAGCACCGTGCACTGGAGGTATGTGGGTGTGAATAGTGGAAGAGAAACAAGTTTTTACATATAAAGGCTAAATTATCATTTCATTCTTTGTAAAAAATATTGCAAAATTGTTATCTTCTCAGGAAGTGACTGGAGAGTAAACAAACAAAAATTATTGGAAAAAGAGTGTTCTAGAAGTGTGCCAGGCTAATAAAGATATTGTGCAATTCCTACAGATTTTGTAATATGTATGGCATTTACCAGCTTTTTAACTTTTGCCATTCTTAGTGTTTCTTTTCTCATTATAGATACTCACTTTTATACCTGATTTTGTATTTCTAATTTGTACTCTTTTTCTTTAAGACTATGCCAAACTGTATAAACACTGAAAATACTCACAAAGAAACTAAATATTCTAACCCCTGGTCTGATGAACACTGCGGCCTCTCAGACCCACCCGGCCATTCATGGGGTGTCAGAATCGGAAGTGAGCGTGGAGAATCTGACCAGTGGTAATTTCCACTAAGCGTAGGTCTCCCTTTTTTTCCTCTAATGATTTATCCATGTTGAACATTTTGATGCCATAAAAAATTGAGAAATTCCCCTTTCCTCACTCCCAAACCTCCACCCCAGTGGTTTTCCTTTACATCCATACCTCTTCATTTCCTGATTCAGGTCTGGGCTTGAAGCAAACATACCTGAATCCAGCCAGAAAATCTGTTATTGCAATCGTCTTGGCCTAACAGGGGCAGGAAATACCAACGACCTTATGTGAGCTACTCCCCAATGAAGAGCCAACCTGAACGCATAAATGTGGGGCCCCTGCACAACTCAGATGAGGCTCAGATGAGCTACAGACACTGGAAACACCTTTCCTCCTGATCTTTGGTGGCCACTGGGTAGGTATGGATCCCACACAATGAAATGCTGAAATAAGGGACTGAATAACATTTTAAAAAATGCAAGCCCCTGGGAAATAACAAATGGCATTTCTATTGGAAATATTGTTCCAAATACCAACTTTAATTGTCAAACAGAGAAAAAAATACCAACAAAAACAGAGAAGACTCAGTCTTATTTGTTGAGAAAAGGATTTTTAGATTCACGGTCCAGTCTTTGCACAACTAAGTATTTTCACTTCAGTCAGGCTCCACGGTAAAATGAAACAGATTTCCTTTCTCCAGTGCATTATATGGAAGAAACAAAGGAGAAGGAGAGAGAGAGAGAGAGAGAGATTACCCCTGTAAACTGCCTGATCTTCCCACAAAGACCAGAAGCTAGTGTGTAAAGCACACAAAGCACATCCATTCCACAACTTTATGCATCTTCCTTTCAGTGAAACATGTTACTAACAAGCTGATGTTATCAATATCTGGTTGTAAAGTTCAAAACTTCATCCTGCTCCTCAAGATGACCTTAAGTCCTTGACTTGGGTGTTCATGATAATCTCTTGCTTCACCTTGGACACTTTTGCAATGTTTCGTGTTGTTTGCAGTATTGACGCAATTGTGTTGTAGTCCTGTTTACTGTGCTAGCAATAACATTCTAGTCAAACACACATCGTACAATTTGCATCGGCCTTGTTGTGACCTGCCTCATGACTCACCCCTGGTCGACCAGCTGTGGGTTCCCAGCACTGACACAAAGCTGTTTTCCCCCATTAATTGGAGAAGCCTGTTCACACGGACTCAAATACATGCCTGGGCTGGGCTGTTTGAACAGCTTTGGGGAAAAGCAATAAGGCAAGGCATCTGGGCAGCCAGCTCCCTCCTTGAAGTCTGGATGGGAGGAAAGCGTAAGGCACCAGATTTTCAAAACAACATCCTCTGCAGGAGTCCCGCATTTTTCTTTAAATGGTTGGTTCTGAGCATAATTCCATGATTCTGTTTGCTTAGCTCCCCAGTGTTTTGGTGTTGAGACATCTACAATTAAGGATGGTCACAAAACAGAGACAGTGACACTGGGCAGAAGGATGCTTGGTGGCTAGAAGAGACTCAGTTATGTTACATCTACAAAGTCCTTCACGCAGAATAAGAACTCAGGTCTGCATCTGTCAATGGATAATTACTAAATGAAGGAACACACTAAGGAAGAAGCAGGAATAGGACACACAGCTAAACCTCATGGGGAATGAGGCCCTGCCAATCTCAGAGGCTCCCACAGACAAGAACCTGTTAATGCTAATGACATCTTGGCATGATGTGTGTTCTGGCGCTGATGGAGCCCCACCAAGCAACCTAGGTCATGCCCATTCTTCACTGTATTGCTGCTAAATTAATATGAAATCTCTATTACCGATTTTATAAATTACTCTTGCACCTGGCCACAGCTCCTCCTCCCACCCACTACCTATCTGCCATCCTTTTGACTATTCATCCTCCTGCCAAATTAAAAGGATTAGGGAGGTGCCAAAAACCAGTTTTTCTCTTACTTAAGAATGCTTATGAAAATGAGACCAGAAAATGAGGGCAAGGAAATGGTCAAGAGAAGAGGTTGAAAAGCAAATGCCATGCGGCGGTGGATTTCCTGTTGTCATAGAGCGACTTCTCCCCAGAGACCAGGTCAGTGGAGAACAGAAGAGGTAAGATACCCACAAGTCGTTTATCTTCTCCAGGGAACCTAGAATCTACCCATTGGTTCCGCTCAACTTGATTATAATCTCAATCCTACCGTAATTAACACTCTAAAGACAGTGATAGAAAGTGGGGGTGCAAAGTGAAATTCAAACAATAACAAATTAACCCTTTTATTACAAATGAATAACAAAATCACACCTCAGTGCAAAAAGAACTGTACACAAATATTTACTCAGGTAAACTGTGTTTCTCATGGATAGGGGTTAGCAATTCCAAAACTATTATATGTGTGTATTAGGGTTGAACAAGAAGTAATTCTACTGCAGATGATGAAACTGTTGGAGAAAAGGAGTTACAAATTAAGAAAGGGAAGGATAGGTAAAAAAACAGAGGTGTCTGTATGACCACATGGATGTAAGTGTGTGCATGCGTGTGTGTTAGTGTACACAGGTGGGCTGCGCTTAGCGGTGACGACCTAGAATCCCCTGCCCTCCTTTTTGGAAGACTAATCCAAGGTCCTTAGAAAAAGAAGGAAAATATGTGTAGTCAGTGTTTTTAAGGGAAGTAGATATTAGACTCACACTGAAACACCAGGTTCACAAGGCTACTCCAAATGGGGCCGACAACGGTGTGACTGGAAGCACTGGACGGGAGCAGAGCTGCATGATGGGAGAGGGAAGGAAGGAAGAAAACGCCAGTAACAGCTAAGAATCTCTGCTCCAAAATATCTCCGTCCATGAACCACGATTAGGGACTGCAAACTCCGTTTACTCCAGTTCAGCTCTCATAAAATAGTCACAAATTCAGAGGCTACTGCTTAATTTCAGGATATACTCTTGATCTGTAACATTTGTTTAAAGGCAGAAGTTCTGTTTAAAATTTGTGGAAGGGCAAACCAAAACTAATAGGCCCCTTTTAAGCCATTTTTACATTAACAGTATATGATCAAAATGAAAAGCATAGCAACTCGAAGGCAGCTCTCAGGGATTCTTCACAGAGGCTCAAGAAACTGACAATCCAGTCACTCTCTCCTGAGAACTTTCCCATCTGTCACTTGCATGACTTCTTTGAGACATGAGTCAAAGAGGCTTGATACCACATGAAATGAGTCACCCCCCATGGAGGGAAGTCTCTGAGGAAAACTGACAAGTAATCCATTCCTGTATCCAAGGAAGGATTTATTTATGCATGAGTTTAAGGAGACAGGGTGCCTGTAACATTTCACCTCCAACCAAGACTTGAATCCTAGCAGGTATCCAAAGGCTTGTGTTGATGCACAGCATGAAAACAGCCCCTCTCTATAATTTGTGATTTCTCTGGCCAAGGATTCTCTTGTTTCTCAAAGGCATAGACCTGGACAGGGCATCACTATTGACTGTCCTTTCAGTACAGATGGGAGTTCAGGGTTTCAAAATTTATTGAATAATTTATTTTAATGGAACACATTGACATTAACTGAATATTGAGTAATTGCTAATCTTAAAATTTAGGATTTATTCATCCAACAAATCATCCATGGAGGTAGGAGGGAAATAGAGATGAGTAATAAGATGTACCCTGCTCTTAACAACAAGAATGGAAAGAGGAAGTGTAAACAAAATGAACAAAGAATCTGATGTGACATAAAGTATGAGAAGTAGCACAAATATAGAGATATGCAGAAATATGCAGAAATGCCATAAAGGGGAGACCTTTTGACCCTGGGGGTTTCAGGAGTCCTTAAGAGAGGGTCCTGCAGAAACTGACATCTGAGGTGATTTTGAAGGGGGAACCAGAGGTCACCAGGCAGCCTTTAGTGGATGAGAGAGTGGAGGAAGGAAGCACTGCTTTCTTGGGAGCAAAAAAAACCAGCAGGTGCAACTGGAAGCATGAAATAGTATGTTAGCCAGTAAAACTCAAAGTTGGTATTATCGGCAAGTTGGATGGGCAAGGTGATGGGATGCAAGCAAGTGCCTGGCACAGCGGGAGCAGGTGCTGCTAGGGGTCATCAGCCTCCCAGGGCCACCTACCTGTACTATATCTACGGTCAGAAGAGACGCGGTCAGACTTGCACTTTGAACAGATGTCTCTGGGTGAAAACAAAATGAGATAAACCATGGTGACAGCACGCTGTGTGTACAATCTAATTAGAAATGCTTCTTCCCAATATGGCCATAAGCAGTTAAGTTATATTTTAGAGCACTAGCCTTTCTTTTCTTCTAATCCTTCAAACTCATGCCAACTAACAATAACGTCAGCGGCAATGACATGGAATACGTGTGTTGGGGGGTAGGTGGTTAAGACCATTGCCACTGTCCCTTTTTTAACTGCTCCATCAGCTGGCTCATATAAGCAAAGACAGTGTGCCTGCTCCAGAATGGCAGCTTCAACACAAGGCCAAGTGCCGTGCTCCAGCCACCTGCAGCTCTAAGGAGCCCTTCCACTATGCAAATTCTACAGCACCCACTGAACACACAGCAAAGGGTTCACAAGTGATTCTTTGTTTTTTCCAGGCCTTAGAGGTCTCACAGTGTCTTCTGATGTAAGAAGGCCTCCCTCAGAACCCCACTGGTGTCCAAATGGCTGGGACAGGACACTATTCCTCACTGATGACCTTGCTCCTGAAACCGACAGCAGATAGTGTGGCCATTGGCTGATCTTCCACTGAATTTCCCAAGAGTTGCTTCAGATATGAGCAGCCACAAATCATACTCTATCTGAAAAGGCAAAAGCCTAGAACTGCTCCATAAGACATAAACAGTGTTAATGATCGTCTACAAAACCAAAAGGAATTTCCTGCAGTACTTTCAAAACACAAAACTAGTGGCTACTCAGAAACACTTTTCGTTGTTTTGTGCATTTTAAACAACTCTGGTTAGGTGTAATATGACTGCTTCAGTTCACATTTTTGATACTATAAATATCATGTGCTTATTTTTCTTTTCTTCTTTCTCTTTTTCTTTTGTATTTTCATTTTCACTTAGTTATTACCAAGTGGTGGTAGAGTGTTCGCATTCTTATTAAAACTGATTTCTTTTTGTAAAAAAATTAGTATCAATTAGGATCAACAGATCCTCTCCCTTTTTTTTCATTTTACTCATAAGGTTGCCAGATTTACAAAATAGAAAAACAGATGGCCAAGTTAAATTTGAATTTTAAATAAACTACAAATAATATTTCAGTATAAATATATTCCATGCAAAATTTGGAAGATACTTCTATTAAAAGATTTTTTTATTTCTCTGAAGTTCAAGTTTAACCTGGAATTCTGCATTTTATTTGGCAAGCCATTCAAAAAGACTTGAGTTTTATTTAATAATATTTTGCTTAGAATATCTAGCCTGGAAATATAAATAAATAAAACTAGATAAAAATATAATAAGCTGCCCTGTTCATTATTTGGGTAAGAATATAATGATTTCTAAAATTTTTATCCCTGTATTTTCTATATTTTACATAAGAATATATGTTACTTTCCAAACAAAACAATAATGCAATTTAAATACAAAAATGTATCTAATTGGAAAAACTCTATTCTCATTTTTTAATGTCTGAATAATCTGCCCACACTGCACTCTCCAAAGCTAGATTGGGCTGGTTACGTCGCCCCAAGTTTTAACCCACCCAGCTCTCACTGGGCTGATCTGGTCTCCATCTTTCAAATTGAGGGCCCCCCTGTAATCAATTGACTAATTCAGTCTCATGATCCAAGTGGTCAGTACACATTTCAAAGTTCTCTCATACAAGATCTGCTGCAGAAGATAAAATAGGAAATGTGTTTGCCAATGAATGAAGTTCCTTTGGCTTTTGGTAGACATTCCATTAGATGGAGCAATGCCTGCTTCACAGCCAACGAGAAAAAGTACAAGCAATTTATACATGCCTCTAACTCATCCCCTCAACATGCTCTGAAGAATCAGTCCTTTAAAAATTAATAGACTCTTCCAAGGTGAGGTAACCCTGGTGGTGCTGGCACTCTTAGGGAGAGGATTTGTCAGACATGTATCAGAAAGAGGGCTTCAGAAGGGCGTGGGGCAGGCTCCAAGTGAACCATGACCTGAGATCCTTCCAATGGCTCTCCTGTCATCGCTAATAAGAAATTCTGTTTTTATAGGAAACTGTCACTAGCAAAGCACAAGCTCTGGCTTTTACTTTGAAGGAAAGATGCCAGCTTCTATGCTCATCTTTTAATTGCCTTACACATAATAGAAGAGGTTGTTAGTGTAGTGAACAAGCCAGAACAGGGATGTGTAAGCCAACTGTTCTCTATTCCTACAATGGAAAGTTCATGAGAGCTGCGGTCTGAGGCCAACCAGAGGATGTAGGAGCTTGGAGATCTTCCTTCTCCTCTAGGCCCACAGCAAAGAACACTGCCTTCTTTCCTCTGCAGAGCAACCACTAGGTACTTCTCAGAGAACTGCTACAAAGATGCTTCAACCTAGGACAAGAGTTGAGTCATGATTTCTGTACAACTTGATGGTGCTGCCACCCGCCTCTGCTCTCCCTCAGTTTTTGTTTTCTTGGTCTGATAATTAGTTGTTGGCACTATGAATGTGTCTTCTGAGGAAAAAGTATAATGTGGGCACCTGCTGTTTCTGGAATGGTTGTTCTATGCATCCTGTTGAGGTAAACTATCTATTCAGAGCACAAGTACTGGCCAACCTGTGGTCACCTAACCCAGAGCTCCATGGCCCTCTTGCTATGTTTTTAACAGTAGGTTCTAGCTGCTACCTTCTGCCTTCTACCGACTTACGCAGTAGACTTTACACAGAAAGAAAACTCTCTTCAAAAAAAATCATGACTCCTACAATGACCAAAAACTTGAAAGTTATCATCTAGTGACTCTCAAACTCAGCTGCTCACTAGAATCACCTTAGGAGCTTTAAAAAAAAACACACACCAGTGCTAGAACCCTACCCTAGAAGAAACCAGACAGAATGTCTGGGAGTGGGGCCACCCAGGGCATTGCTACTCTTTCAAAGTTCCCCCAGGTGCGTCCAGTGGCTGGCTGAGGTTGAGAACCACTGGTCTCATCCATCAAGGCTCTTCCCAATGAACCTGGGACCCCGAGAGGCTGACAGACTGTCCCGAGGTCCCAATCCTTGCTAGTTAGTGTGCCCTCCTCTGTTTGTCTTCTTCCAGACCACGAAGCCCTTGCGCACCTAAAGCCTGATGTTGACACTTGAATGCACACCGCTTGCCACAACAAATGTTTGATGAGGACAGAAAACCAGGAAAAAAATGAAAGACCAGAGCCCGTTCTTCCCTTGGTTCCACAGACTCTTATTAAGAAGAATTGTTATTAAGATAAACCACTGTGAACGTTTTAGCTCCAAAAGCTAAGTTATTAGGTATCAGATTTCCCAATCTTGTGACCCATTTATTTCTTGAAAAATTCTATGAGTCAGATTGCCCCCAAATCCCAAACCAGATGACTTTACCCTAATTAGTCCAGCTGTTTTAAGCTAAGCGCTTGACCTTGTTCAATACCCCATGCCTCACTAAGTCCTCATTTTGTGGAGTTTCATTTGTTTCCCTAGTTAAAGTTGACATTCTTCAATTACTGGGACACTCAGGTTGGCATGTTTTCCTTCAGTATTGAGACTCCAGAGTGAAGAAAAGAATGATGGGAAATCAGTGTTATGATTAAGGAGAAATAGTTTTAGAGCCGTGGGCCTGAGAGGTGCTGAGGCCTCAGCCCAGAGTTCCAGAGTAATCTATGGCTTTACTGGCTCTATCCACTGCCAGCTGTCTTTCACCTGGCACTCGGGTGGATATCCAGTCCCCCCCACCCCCACCCCCCTGTGGTGTGGTGTAAGGGCTTGGAGGTGGAACACAGGCATCTGGGGCCCGAGAACTCTGCAGCAGCTTTTACGGTGCTGGGTCAAGTCCTCGTCCTTGCAACTTTAGTGCACACTGACCAGCCTCCAAATGGGCTCATCTCCTCACTGTATCCCTTTACCTGAGGGTATTCTCTGAACTCCAAAACCTGCCCACCCACCTGTGCAGCTCACTGAAAACACTGGAGAATGGACACCTCCCTCTCACCTCTCCTGTGACCTTCAACCCCAAGCTGACAAGCAGTGAGGTTTCACTCCCAGGTGCAGGGACTCTACGGCATGCCGTTGAGTGTCCCTGGTTGCCCAGTGGTTAGCCGCCTTCCCTTCTTGCTCCTTTTCCCACTCTCCTTGCTGGTACTTCCTTAACTTATCCCTCAGACAGTGAAATCCTTATATCGAGGTCTGATCCTGAGGGAACCAAAAGAAGACACAGTGGATTTGTCACTGTATCATCATTTGACCTCTCTGTGAGTCGCTGTCCTCAAAAGTAAAATAAAGAAAGGAACGTAAAGTCCCACTTGGTCACGGCAGCAGGCACCGGGCAGCCTTGTGAGGCTGCCGAAGCCCTTGGACCTGGCCCTTGTCTCCTTCCCACCTTCCTCCCCGCATCTCCAAGTTCTCTTCTCCCCCATGCTCCTCTCTGGCTCCAGGGTTTTCCTTTGAATTCTTGCAAGTGCCTTTGTGACTCTTACTTACGCTGTCCCTCTGCCTGGGACACTCCTGTTCTTTCTGTGTGTTTGGCTCCCTCCTATACACCCTCCAGCTCTCAGCCGAAGGGTCACTTCCTGCAGGGAGGCCTTTTCTGATGCCTGGTCTAAGATCATGCTCCTGTTATGTTGTACTAGATACAGTGTCCCCACATTTGGCACGCTTCATAGTAATTCCTATGCACTTCTCCAAGTTCACCTTACTCCCCAGCCACCCTCATCACTGGCCTTTATACTCCTAGAAGACAGAAATCCAATTTATCTTGTTCCCCCCACTGCATCCCTAATACCCAGCCCAATGCCCAGACATATTAGATCCTTACTACATCATTGTTTAATAAAATGCATAGTGATTCACTCAACATGCACTGAAGAATTAGAGGATTTTGGAATAGAAGGGAATAGAAAACCTTCCAACCAGAGAGTCTTGGCTCTGTCTCAAATGGTTTCCACCCAGGATGGGGCTTTTCCCTCCACCCTTATCCTTGAAGTCTCCAGAGAAGGGTGTGTAAAGGGTGGATAGATATCTCTTTGGCTGAGAACAGCTTTATCTTTTTATCCAAGTGTGGGCTGCCATCCTTTTTAACATGATTTTTTTTTATTGTAAAGCACTGTGTTAAAATAATCTATCCCGGTACTTACAAAAATGTGGAGTTGAAATTTGGAAAAGTAAGTTCAGTAGCAAACATTGTGCATGAGCAACATTCAGAGGCTGAAGGCACATTATTTATCAGCTTTTAAGATCAATGCATGCTTTCTGGGTGTGGGCCTTTAGGACATTTCCTTTGCACTTGGGGGCGTGATGAGCTTTATCGCAAAAATTCCTAGATCCTCTAAGTCTCAGGCCAAGCGATGAATTCACTCCCAACCTTTTCAACCACCACCTGTCCTAAAGTAAAGTACAATTTTCTTAGCATGGGGCCCGCCTTTGCCTACCTTTTCTCCAGGCTCATCTTCCTCCATATTCTGCCTCTTGCTTCCCTTGTACATTTATTTGCAGGCATGGTATTGTTTCATGTCTCTATTCTGTGGCCCCTGCTATTCACTCAACCAGAGACTCCTCCCTCTCTCCCCCACCCTTCCGTCAATTTTGCTGGCCGCCCCCATTCATCCTCTGAGATTGGACACAGGCCCAGGGCAGGCAGTCTTCTCTGAACTTCCAGACTGGAAGTGCCACTTCTGGCTTCCATTGCCCACTGGGTTTTCTCCCAGCACATCCACATATTAAATATACGGGTTTGCTGTTCCCCACCCACCTACTCCACCCGCAAACACTTCCCAAGCTTGGTGTTCCCCATGCCAAGTGCGGTGCCTGTTACTGAGCAGGCACGCAACAGATGTTTGCTCAAACATACTTGTTGACATAAGAAATGTCCAAGC